TAAATTGCAATATACATTTCTATCGATTAATTACCAATTATTTTTATATTTTAACACACTCTACTTATATTTCAGATTATTTAGACATATATATATACTAGTATAAGTATTACATACTTATTAACATACTTAAATATTAAATAATTTCGATGTGATATTTTTTTCGATGACAATTTCCCCTTCCAAAGTCATCACTGCACAGGAACGTTTTAACAAATGTACATTAGTTTAAACAATTACATGAAAATTAAAAAAATGTAAAATCGGAACGTTAAAATCTCAATTTCTATTAAATATAATTAATATTTCCTTTATACACACATGTGCAACTTTCAGAAAGCCATATAAACAACTTGCGATAGAAAAAACTTTTTTATGTGTGACAACGTATCAGTCTAACAAAAGATTTCGAAGAGGAAAGAACATCGACAGGTAAATCCATGCTTTTCGATTACAATATGCATTTCCATCGATTAATTAACAATTATTTTAATATTCTAATACACTCTACTTATGTTTAAGATTAGTTTCAACACATGTACATTTTTTTAAACATTACATACCTATTAAATTACTTCGAATGTATATATACATAGAAAGCAATTTTGATACGTTATTAATTTATGATTTTTCTATATGACTGACTTTACTTACTTTTTTTCGTAAACATATATTGTTCCCATTACTTATATTGTTTTCTAATTAGTTTTTTGTTAGGCTTCAACATGACAAAATTGATTGGTATTATTGGCAAAAATCAAATTTAATGAATATTTATTATAATTTGGGTCTTCGGAAGCGGTTACCTCCTCGTGGTTAGACCCGGGCAATGGTATATTACTTTCCATATAATGTTTAACATATTATATATGCTATACATTTCATGGCAAGTAAAATCCAGCTAAAGACCGCTTAATTAATAATTATTTTAATACTCTAATATACTCCCTTCAAATTTCTGATTATTTGAATATATATGTATTGGTTAAAATATTACATTACCTATTAACATGTTTTAAATGGAAATTAATTTTGATATATTTTTCTTTTATGTTATTATATGACTTTTTTAAACTTGATTTCGTTACTGAGCCAATATATAAACATAAAATTTACCGATAACATACATTGTTTTAAATCAGTTTTTGGTTAGACTTCAACGTAAACGTATTACTTGCGAATAGATGAAACTCCTAGGGTGGGGCCTAAGTGTTAAGTTTATTAAAAAACTTTCTCAGACAAATAATTTTACCATTGAACTCACTACTGCGCAGGAGCGGTTAAATAATTACATAAAAATGATAAAAATGCTAAAATCAGAACGTTACAATCTTAAATTTCATTAATTAGATGAATTATTCCCTTTATACACATGCGCAACGTTCGGAAAGTCATATAAACAACTTTCAATAGAAGTATTTTCACAGACGAGAAAGTGCCAGTCTCAAGGTGCATCTCGAGGAAGACGGTTGACAGAACATATACTCGGAGCTTTTTAACAAAAAAAGACACTTCTATCGATTATTTAACAATTATTTTAATTCTTTAATACACTCTTCTTATATTTCAGTTTGTTTTAACATATATATATATATATACATTGGTTGAAATATTACATTACCTATTAACGTATTTTAAATAGAAAATAATTTTGATATATTTTTCTTTTATGTTTTTAGATGACTTTTTTAAAATTTGATTTCGTTACTGAGCCAATATATAAACATAAAATTTACCGATAACTTATATTGTTTTGAATCAGTTCTTTGTTAGACTTCGACACGTAAACGTATTACTTGCGAATAGGTGAAACTCTTAGGGTGGGGCCCAAGAGTTAGATTTCTTAAAAAACGTTCTCAGTTAAATAATTTTCTTTCGTTTAATTTTTTTTGGATGTGGACATCTTCAGGATGCACATCCCTCGTGGGTCTTCGGAAGCGGTTACCTCCTCGTGGTTAGACCCGGGCAATGGTGTTTTACTTTCAGTATAATGYTTAASATATTTTATATGTTATACATTCCATTGCAAGTAAAATCTAGCCAAAGACCGCTTACCATAAACATTATAATTGTAATTAGTTTCTTCTAAATCCCTAATTAATATCATATTTCTTTACTCCTTTTTATTTCTTGGTTCCTTTTATCCATTTAAACACAGAAACTAATTACTTTATAATGTTTTTTAATAACTTTTATATATTTACAGATACCAGGAGTAGTCGAAAATTGTTTGAAATTTAAGATGCAAAGAGATTGCATTCGATTCATTCATTGCAATTTTACAGTCCCAGAATAACATTTTTTTGCAGGTTTCTTTTTTAAATCATAGCTGTAGTAGATAGATAGTGAACTCTTTCTTTCTAAAGAATCGATAATAAGATATTACTTTATAAATCATTGATAATGTTGCTTACGAATAAGTATTTCATAATAATTAATAGATATTATTTTTTGTAGTAACTTAATATTTGTACTTTTCCTATTTCTTTATTTTTATATGTTTTATGTAAATGTAAAATCACGCGTTTAAATTTAATTTCATTACAACGGCAAATAGAGATTTGATAAAAATAAATAAAAAGTTCATTTGATATAATAGAAAACTGTTTTACTAGTCAAATAGTTTTAGTCGATAAAACTGAATCCTGTTTCACAGACCCTCCAACTTAGTACCAGTAGAGTCCTGTTTTATCGACTACAATATAGATCTTTAACAATAGATTCTTGTACAGATCAGTAATAATTGATTTCCGCTGACCAATCAATATAATAGATCTAAAATTACTTATTTTAAAAAATAATAACAATTAAATAAAATTAATTGTTAAGACTACCATTGTAATTATAGAAATTATTAAATGCAGTTAATAATAAAAGTTCGCGAGAGTAAATAAAATCTACGATTTTGTGAGAAAATGTAAAGAATGTTTTAAAGGTACACCGCAAAAATTCAACAATTTTTAGCTGCTTTTATGTAAAGAAAAAAAAACGATGTCATTGTTGTGTTGTCATAAATAAAAATAAGAATATAAATGCGAAATGTCGTAAGTATACGCGGATACAGTAATGTTAATTGTTCGGCAAGTTGTAGCAAACAGTGAAAGGAATACGCCCTGCGATGATCCGTAGTACATCCGACGATCTGAATCCCATGGCGAGGTCGTCTTGCTCGATGTGTTACAAGATATGTTACAACGGGCACGAGATAATCATCAGTTTAACAATAAATAAAAAATTGAGATGTACTTTTATCGTACCGTTATTAGTTAGACATATTCGATTAGATATATGTAGTTTGACGATCACGCAAAAGGTAAACTGACGTACACGATATTAACATTCAATGATTGATAATATAAAATCGATGATTATATATCAGTTAAACTTTTTATCTATTTTTTCTATTTTTTTTAATCTATTTTTTATTTTTTAATAATTTTAATTATTCTCAATTAGTCTTAATCATATTTTGCAACAATAAATACTAAATAAAAAAAACAAACAAACAAAAAAAGGAGAGAAAAAAGACAGATTCGATAGAGTTTAATTTCGCAACTATAATTGTTAAATTAAAGAAACGAAGAGAAAATGAAAAGAATTTCGATATAATTTAAATTGTAAAATTATGAAAACTAAGGGAGGATGGAGTAATATTAAAAGAATACTTTAACAATAGATAGTCTTACGAGATAGCAAAATTCCTTTGCACCATCGACGTGTCCTTATCTCCCATATAAAATGTAGGCACAATATACTTACTTACACGTATAAGTAGAAATATGTAAATGTATCTACATAACTACATTAATAGATAGATAGATAGGTAGATAAATAGAAAGAGAAATGAGAATAAGGTAGTCTTAGGAAAAAATTCTGAGCATACAAAGGACGGAGTTCGAGTGTAAGTAATAATTATTATCGTATCGGGTATGAAAGGTCAGGTTAAGTCAGGCAAATCTTCTTCTCGAATTCGCGGGAGGGGCAAATACGGCCCACGGAATAGTTCGAGTGAGGAAGGGTAGGGTAGGAAAGGGAGAGAAGGAGGGAATGTGCCATCTTTTAAGTGCAACTGGCTGCTTCGAATTACACGAACGCTTCGAAGATTAATTCTCCCCTTCAACCTCTCGTTAAGCATCGTTGTCTTTGTGGCGGGGCGGATGGTAGTCCAGAAGGAGAATGCGACGTTGACTATAAAACCTCATCATGACCAACCTGGCCACTGTAATCTTCGACAGTGCCTAGAACCACTCTGTGTATCACATAATCCTCTTCATCGTCATTTCGGTGAACATAAATTCGAGTAATTTGCGCCTGTCAAACTTAACCACTTTATCGTTTTACACGTCATTTTAATTTGACTTTTTCCGTTATTTCTTACGGATCTACGAAGACACTATGAAGATCCTTGTGAGTGAAATAAGATTATCATCTGCTTTTGATTTTATCAATAGAATTTCTTGGGTTAATACTAATTAAGTTTCTATTGGGTTGGATTTAATGGACGCTGTTGTAAGCTCGTTGTTAAATTATCAATTTCAATTGTATTACTCTTTATTTCATAATTTTAACTCGTTAACGAAAGGTCAACATAAGAGAACATCGATATCTATGTAATAATTAATAATAACGCAAATTTTTGCGGTTCGATAAATCGTTAAAACATTATTTAAACGTATCGTTTAAAAGCCGTAGGACGTACGACTAATTGGCATATCAAAAGAACGCGCCGTGGCGACACGTGCCGCGCGCATATTCATTCGCGGTCATACCGCGAATGAAGAAACCGCAGTTCCCGGTTATGCTTATTATTATTCATAAACGCGCCGACAGTCCATAAAGATCAAAACTTTTTCAACGTTCCAATCGTCCCACTTGTGTCCTTATTTTGCCTGAGGAACATCCTTTCGATCGTGACTAACGCGCAGATTATTCACGCTTGTCCTGCGTCTTATTTAAAGAAATTGATTATATGAACGGATATAAAGTAGACGCTTCCAATGTTATTTTATAATCGAATCAATAAAAATAAATTGTCTTTAACGGGCTAAAAATTAAACTAGAAATTCTTTGAAATAGATATCGTAATAAGCTTATTTTGATTTGATTTATCTGAATTTGATTTTAATTGAAAATATGCCGCACGTTTGAACTTCCAACACTGACCATGTCCAACTTTTCTTTTTGACACGCTTGAGATTGTTTGTATTTTGAACGTTTGTAGGTGCTGTTACTCGGTCTGACGGTGGCGTCATATGCACAATACAACAGATATCCATACAACCCCGAGTACTACGGCAGACACATCGCCATATTGCGACAATCGAAAGACACAGCACCAGACGGATCTTACTCCTACAGGTGAGACTGTCCGTTCTTCCATCGATAAACAGCACCGAGGTGTTCGTCCGTTTGTTTCGTTTCCTCAAGAGCGATCTCGACACGGTCGAAGGATCTCGGTTGCTCTTTCCTTTTGAAATTACGTATATACCTACATATAACCGGGATAATTCGCGCGTATTATAAACTACTCGTCACGCGTCGAAGATGTAATCATGCTCGTTAGCACGTTCGCCTCCATTTTTATTTCCAATCGTGCCACGATTTTCGGCTCCGATGAGCACGACCAAGAACTGGCCTTCGAAAGAATGAGAAAAGAACGATCGAACTACGAAATTTTTAATAGAAAAGAAAACATGAAACATCTATTTCTCTCATTATTTTTGTTTTCAAACTATTAAACTTCATTATGCATCCATCTAATCAGATGTGATTGAATTGATCGAACACTTTCTTCGTCTCGTGAAGGAATCCTAGTAAAACATGAGAAGCAACATCGTGATATGGCCACCGAATCATTGCATATACACACGCTCGATAAAGATAGCTAATTGACTTCGATGTTAATCGTCCATGTTAATCGCCTGCGCAGTTCGCAATAACGGATTGCGCAATCGAACAATTACAATCGACCTACCTACCTACGTATCTGCCTACCTATCTACCTACCTACCTACCTGTCCACTTTCCGTCCCATCAACAGCCACACTCTGGCTGTTCGTATGTCTTTGTAAAATCGCACTTAACTCTTCTCAGACACCTCCCATGACACCTGCGTTGTGTGACGCCTCACAGATCTACCGACATCTCTCTTTTTCCTCCTCAAACTTGGCAATTATCTTCTTTCTTTTCTTATCTTTAACTTTCTTTCTTCGTCCTTTGCAACCCCTTCCCGTTTCTTTTTTCAATCATATTTTTCTTCCCATAATTTTGCCTTTTTTTGTTTAAAGGATTAAGATTACTCGGTGTTATTATTTCTTGTGTATAATAATAAAAATCATGTCAATAATTGGAATCTATTTTTCTACTAAAATCATTATCGACATCCGCAAGAAACCGATCTTTTTCGTTTTACATAATCGCGTTTATTATTCTGTAGATTTTTATCATCCTGTGTATGACATATCATCAATGGTAGTCCCGTTTCACGGAAATCCTTGTTATAATATTTCCAGCAATTATTCTTGTTCTTGATAATAAAAACTCTGTTTTTTATTTTTTTTTTTTTTTTTTTTAATTAATATAATGTATTCTCAAAGCTGAACAACTCTTAACATCCTGTATATATCTATAAATAATATATGAAGGATAAACATCTTCTTTCCTAATTTGAGTAGACATTCGTGAGTAAGTAAACCTAAAGGTCCTGAATATCTCAGTGATCCAAAGTAATATAAAAAGCGAAAGACGTGATTTCGATTCTCAAAACAATCTAATAAGTAAGACCAATGCAAGAATGATCCCACAAATAAGTAAAACACATAAGATTCTTGATCTAAATAGAAAATATTTTTTCAGTTACGATACCGAAAATGGAATCTCGGTAGCGGAACAAGGACGTCCAAAGAATATTGGTCCAGCCCAAATCGAAGAGGTTAGAGGTCAATATAGTTATACAGCACCAGACGGTACCCCGATATTGGTCACTTACACCGCAGACGAGAACGGCTTTCAAGCGAGCGGTGCTCACCTACCTACACCTCCGCCCATTCCACCTGCCATCCAACGAGCCCTCAGCTACAACGCGGCTCATCCCGAGGAGGAGGAGCCTTACAGGAGATACTAGACATGACATTATGTTTATCGATTTCTATTCTATTTTTCTCTTCCATTTTTCTCCTTCTCTATTTCTTTCTTTATTTCTTTCTTTCTTTTTTTTTTCATTATATTACTCTTATCGTTCTTTACGATTATATTATATCAGGAGTATCAGGACGATTCGTTCGCGATCGACAACGAAGATGATCGTCTTTTATTCTTCTATTCTTCTCCTTATTTTTTTTCTTTGAGGATATATTATTTTTCAAACCAGCTAGCTTGCTAAGACACTAACTAGAAAAACCACGAGAAACTGCCTATAACATCTACGAACGTGTAGTTGTCCTTTTCATTAGATCCTCCACGTGGATAGATAAAGAAAAATAGTAAAGAAATTGAACGAGGAGGATCAAAGAGGATTGCTTTTATTTAACGTTTTAAATTATACTCCTTTTATTACTCTTTTCTCTTTTTCTCTTTCTTTCTATCTTTTTCTCTCTCTCTCTCTCTTTCTCTCTCTTTTAGCAATTTCTATTTTTGATATACGTACTCGTCAATTCGTTTCGTGTGAAAAGCCAAGTAGGTAATTACCATTAGAGGCTAAATCACATCGAAAAGTATTTGGATAATGATCTGTTAGAACTAAAGATTTATTTGGAAAGATAAAGGACAATGTTATCGTAACGTAATATCTAGATGTTTAAAAAGAAAGGAAATTGTCTTTATGTGATCGATCTAGCGTGAAAAAGTTTAATGTAATTTCCTTTGACGAAATAATCGATGCTAACGAAATCCAAATAAGAAGAAAAATCCGAGAGAAAGAGTGAGAGAGAGAGAGAGAGAGAGAGAGAAATAAAGAGACAGTTTGCTGGATACTATACGAAGAGGAGAGATCACTTATGATTAGAAAAGAGCTGCTTCAGATTTATCGAGACGATAAAACGTCAAATTAACGCGCGCTATTATTGTTCTTTTAATAGAATGTAACCGCTTGTTTCTTTGTACGATGGTAAATACATGCAATCGACTTGAAATTGAGTTATATCTTTCCGTACCTGTTATTTATAATACCAGAAGAACTTAAGTTTGACCAATTAATAAACGAGCAACCTACTGGTAGCTGTCTAACCCAGCTATCAATTAAATCGTTATTATTACGGAGGCGTTAAATTTTAGGAAACCAACTCGAAATGCCACTCGTAGTTAATGTTAATGGTAATCGTAATATCACGTTTAAAGGTGAGTCAGTGAAAGCAAATCATCGGCCTCCTCTTTGCGTTGCACAACGATCAACCAACCAACCAACCAACCAACTAACCGACCGAACGAACGAACGGTCGACCGAATGGACGACTCTGGCTCATCCCAGGATTTAACATTTTCACCGTGAACAGCTTGGAACTTCGTTTCTGGCACCTCTTGAGAGGCATTCACGAAAGCCGTGAAAGTTTGAAAGTACCATCGAGATCCTTTTACTATGAATTTAGCGATTCTATTTTCTCGTCGCTGATCTTTATCGCAATCTTTAACGATTGAATGTTTAACCTTGAATACCTTAAAACATTTGTTCATCAAACAAATGACAAATTGATATAGATTTGTTTTATATTAATTAAGACTATGATTGATGGGGAATTTAATGATAATAAACATTAAGATTATATCAATTAATGTTTTATTGTAATAAAAGAATGAAAAGAAACGAATTATTACGGATACATTTATTCTTAATCTTACATAAGTGACACCTGTTAGAAGATAAATGAAATCATGAAATTTATAATACAAAAAGGAATTAGCAAGACTGGCGAAAGAAATAGTAAATGCATAAGAGTCAGTCTCTCTACGAAACGTATGTTAACTGACCGGGGATGTCAAACGGCGCCTTTGACATTGGGGTCAGGATGTCACGTAGTGCTTTCCATTCTGTGACACAATCGAAAAGGAAGCAGAAGGAGCTGTCAGCTCGATGGTATTGTTAGAATGGCAGATAGACGAAATCGATATTTTGCATACAATCGTGAAACGTTTTGATCTTTGCGCACGAGGGATATATCGGTCAAGGAGATCGATGGACACCTGGGCGAGTCGTATCCTGTCACGAAAATGACTATAATTTCATCGACCGCAACACCTTTCAGTGATTTTCATAATTTTTCCTTTATTTTTTTTTTTTTATTTTCCCATTAATTTTTTATTTCCATATATACTTTAACGAGAATGATCAATGATCGAGATCCGATCGTGTCATTTTTATTAAAAATTAATAAGACGATAATAAAGTTGAATATAAATTCAGAACACAAACTTATAAAAGGTAATAGATAGATCTAATATATTTACATATATCGACTTACGACAAATTGCTGGAGCAATGGTAGAGTTAAGTGCAATTAACCATCGATTAATCATTTAGATGCACGATATGTCGATACAAGCGACCTTTTGAAGCTCTAATTATCACGATGCTCGAATCCTTGCACGTAAAAACAGAGAGAAAGAGAAGAGTCGAGATATTGCTGACAGCTAGGCTCCACTGGGCGTGGATCTTCTAGGATGGATTCCTTTCGCTTTCGTCACGGACCGGAAAGAAAAGAAGGGCAGAGCACAAAGAGAGGAGTCGGCCAGAAATGCCAGAATGATTGCACAATAACTTTTAGCGAGTTATTCGCCGAGTTACGGGAATAAGGCAGCGTGGAATAGTGATGATCCTTTGCAATGATGACGACGACGACGACGACGATGATGATGCTAATGATAGTCAGCCATAAAGATGATAACTTTTACATTAGGTGGAAAGTCAACTGCCGGGTCACGGAATTGTTAACGAAAGTTTTGATAGAATACCTAGGAGTAAGGAAAAGTAGGATCACAGATAAAGCAAGCAGAAAGATAGATAGAGAGGGAGAGAGAAAGAGTGAGAGAAAGGAAAGATAGACGATCACCTTAACTTCGTGGACAATAAGTAGGATAAAGAGAGGAAGTAGCAAGATCAGCGAGCGTCGGCAGTGATCTTGAATCTTAGTAAGAGATATCCGAGAAATTACATTGTGTTCTCTCAGGGGACTTATCGTCAGAAATTCGATAACTGCGTATCTACATACTTTCACGAGAATTCCTGGAATATCCTTGATTTATAGATGCACCATTTTATACCCGAGTTGTACCGTGAGAAGATCGAGACACTCATCCCACACATCTCGTTCCATTTGGAATTCAGTATATTTACGTGCATCACCTTTAGGCGTTTAGCGTAATGTTTGCAACGATCAAGAAAATATTTGAAAGCACGTGTTTGTTGTTAAATTAATGATCGAATAATATTTTACTTACTTTCTTATTTAATGAGATATATCTGTTCTTTGCGAACAAATCTAAAATCTTGTAACTATTAAGACTCTTTGTCAGGATCAACAAGGATCTCTTGCGAACCTGTTGTCTCATCTAAGATGGTTCTAGATCTCGCGGAATGCTCTCGGCGTCTCGGAGAATTATTCGAACCTGGTCTGACCTTTCTGGTTTTATTAACCACATTGACTTAGGTATGCCTCGTCATCGTTGTGAGCTTTCAGACTCACCACGACGCGGATAGAAGGCATACCTTCGGGGGCCTCCCAGGCGAGCATCCTACTCGAGAATTATGCAAACCGATCCGCGCCTAGCCGTTCAATGCCCAACTTAAATTGCCTTACGTACCGCCTTCTTCTTTCGTTTCCTTCCACTGATCGAATCTGTCTATCTTTATACTCGTTTCTACCCAAATTGGGACAATTTACGATGAAAACATCGAACGATCGATTTCGTAACTTTTATCTCATTAAAATAATGATAATGTTTGCAATAGGATCGTTATGATGTATGCATACGTAATATGGTTGGAAACTTGAATACTGTAATACAAATATCTGATAAAATGATCAATAAAATCAGATAACATTGTCAAAAGTTTCATTCTAATTACAATCATTTATTATCTATTTCGATTAGAAATTAGTTAAACTCATTAAGTGACAATTCGTACATATTGTACTCATTTTATCATTGCATAATTTCTCATCATCATTTTCAGGGACGTTTCGCAAGATCGATTAATTTATATTCAATTGGAATCCTCGATATGAAACGAGAGAAATGTCGAGTTGTTTTCATTTGTTCGTAGTTATGCAAAAATTTCTCAGAACACATTAATTCGTATCGGGTATGCGTTCATACATTAGCAGATTATTAAAGGAATAATACCTAATTCGCGATAATCATATTTTAACTAGACTCTGTTCACAAATCGCACGGTCTACCTTTAAGCCAAGACATCTGCAATATTACGACTTATAGACGATCATACACCGGTCCTGTATAAGATAAAGGTAGATAGCAGAGTTAGCGATGCTCTCTGGGAGTGGTCTCACCTAAGAACAATGCGTTTACGCCTTTGGATGGCGAAAAGCAGAGAGCAAATTATGAATATATCAGGAATGAAATCATCGTTGGTGATCGTACGCCTTCGCGGATGCGTTTATGAATTGACAAAACATCGTATCTTGACACTTTCATTTATTATTCCAGCAGGTAGTTTTGCTCTTATTTATTTGCTGTCACAATTTTTTTCTCTTTTTTTTGAATTTTTTTAAATGTTAAAACCAACATTCTCCAAAGTGTATGCGACGTATATATTGTTCATCTAAATTTATGTTTTTTTTTTTCTAAAACATACTGTCTCTATTTTCGTTCCACGTTTAATCATATTGGTTTGATGTTGTAATAATGTATATGAGATAACATTGAGTTGATTATTAAACGATAACAATACATTAACGCTTCTAAAACATAGATATATACGTAAGTACAAATGACTCCGGGATCGGTGTGACCTCGAACGTGGGGTTGAGGTGGGGCGAGGATGCGAGGGCGCTTAGAACGACTTGCGTGCTTGAGAAGAGAGGAGAATGGACACCGATGTGGTCTAGAGGAGCAGAGAGAAGGGAAGATCTTGAGCGTCTTCATATAAATGCCAGCGGTATTCGTGGTTGATGCCACAGATTCGATACTCTTCAAATCGGCATCACGATCCGTGGAGAATCATCATCGTCATGCAGTACACAGTGAGTGTCTTTTCAAACTGCCATGTTCTTTCTATTTCTCTTTCGAGGAGTGTGGACATGTTCATAGAAATTATCGACATACTGTAATCACGTTCGTTCACGTTCGAACTATTCTAACTTCATATCTTTCGTGATTGCAGATACTGATCCTCGCTCTTGTTGGCTCTGCCTTGGGGCAGTACGGAGGTTTCAGAGGTTTCAATCAAAATCTCTTCCCGCAGACACCAAAGCCTAGTTATCAACCACAGCCGAAGTATCAACCGGAATACAGGTAAATGATATTTTTGATTTTTATTAGAAATGTTTTCATTTTCTTCGAGTAATCTTTTCGACATGTATACAACTAAAACTATAACCGTATCTAACATTTGTATTCTCAAACTATATTCTGGCAATTTATTCTGATGAAATTATCCAACACTCTTGGCACCCCTTTGTACCCTCTCGTAACATTCGAAGAAGTAAGACGAAGTAAATATCATTTATTCCCTTCACTCTAGCCCGTACAGTGGTCGGTTTATAGCAATTCGTAACCAGCAACGCGATTCTTTCCCCGACGGCACGTACAACTGGAGCTACGAGACAGAAAATGGAATTTCAGCTCAGGAAACAGGTCGCCCTAAAGCAGGTGGTGGTCCTGGACAGCAAGCCGAGGTAATTTCGAGACATACATTTTTGAAGATAAGAGATGTCTTATTGGACTTTTGATCTTGATTAAAAAAAAAAAGAACAGTAAAGAACATGCTTGATGTATGATCGTAGGCGGTGCAGGGTAGATTCTCGTACACGGCACCCGATGGTACACCTATTCAATTGGAATACGTAGCAGACGAAAATGGCTTCCGTCCACAAGGTGCTCATTTACCAACGCCACCCCCAATCCCAGAGGCTATAAGACGTGCGCTAGCAGCGAATCCACCTGGACCTGACGATTCGAACTACGGACCGGCTTACAATCAAATACCGTATAGAAGATATTAAAATCTCACCGGGTGTCGAGGGCGACGCCATTGCAGCTTCCTCGGTGTCAAGGACACCGCGCGATAGTTCGAACGACGTTCTTGCCTTTGGTATCTTCCTTCTCTGCTCAGCTTTCCTATATGGATGCAAGACCTCGTGTACGAACCTGAGAGAAAGAGAAAGAGAATGGAGTAGGTTCGCACACCAAAGCGTCATCGTTATATCTAACATATATAAATATATATATTTTTAATTATATTTACGGCAGGAAGGATGATGACACGACATTTGCCTAATCTATAACAACAATTTCGTAATAAATCAATAAATCTTTTAATAACTTTTGACATATTATTTCACGTCGGCGAGATACTAGGGAAAGTAAACCAGTATTTATAAAAATGAAAAAATATCATGGAAGACGATTTATCGTACCTTTTAACGGGATATCTTCTCTTTTACTTAGGTTTAATCTACGATATATAAACGAAACTCGTTTTCGTTTACATATCTTACATGATCTTATATAATCTTAAATTATTATCAAATGTATGACGTAAAGATCGATCAAACGAATACCTTAGATAGTCGGTAATCGTAGAGCGCCTTTTTTATCCTCGTTCTCGTTGGAACTTCAAGACTACAAGAGGGCGCTGGATTCGTCAATTCGTTATGCAAATGTTAATATTTTTTTCATTGTGCATAAAAAACGAAAGATTTCGATTGCAACAGTTTAATTTCCTCCCTAAATGTTCGTTGAACGAAAGTTTACGAAAACGTTTGAAACCATCTAAAATTGAATTCATTATTTCTTCGATAATCACGTTATTTACGCCTGTCCTTTAAGTATTTAACAAAAATGAAGTGTCGATAAATAATACGAAGAAATTGGTATGTAATAAGAGTCATAATTTAATGATCAAATATCGAGTTACATAACATTACGTTCTAAAACGAGTTGAGTTGCTTTTTACGAGAAAACTAGTGACAATAAGTTTAAGAATTATTTATTGAATTTTCAATGTAAAAGTAAAAGTAAAAGATTGGAAGTACTCATTATATCAAATCAATGTAATGCGAAAATTCGTGTATTGGCGGGCTTAATGTTAGCGACGCCAAGCGGTGAGCTTTCGAAGGTGCTCAGCCGCATGTAGATTGGCGAATGCGGTGTGTCGTAGGGGCTGACGGTGGGTTAGGGAGGAGAAGAGGACTCGGCTTGACTCGCAAGAGGGAGAGCGTGCGTCTCTCTACGTCAGGAAAAGCTTCGAGCTTATTGGTCCCGGTCCATTGTTGCGTATTGATTGCTGCGGAGCACTGGTATGGTCGTCGGGACCTTCGGTCGTCCTCGTCGTCGTCGTCGTCGTCGCCGCCGTCGCCGTCGTCGTCGGTGGTGTGCTGCAGCCCGATAGGCTAATAAAAACTAAACTTTAGTATACGCGCTCGAGAGTAGTAGGAGACGGTGCGAAACGAGCGATAGACGAAGAAGAAAAAGAGGAAGAAGAAGAAGAAGCAGAAAAAGAAGAAGAAGAAGTAGGAAGGTAGTAGAAGAAGAAGAACAACAACAAGAAGAAGTAGAAAAAGAAGAGGAGAAGCAGAGAAGAAGAAGTAGAATAAGGTGGTGGTAGTGGTGGTGGTGGTGGTGGTGGTGGTGGTGGTGGTGGCAGTGGTGGAGGTGGTGGTGGTTGGTGGTGGTGTTGGCGGTGGTGGTTGTGCTGGTGGTGGTGGTGGTGCTACTGCTGCTGCTACTGCTACAGCGAGAGCCTTCTCGAATAACTCGACTATCCTTTATCTTCATTTGCCGAAGATAGAACGTTTTGTTCTTGGTGTTAGAAAGGGCAAACGAACGAACGAACGAGTCGAGCGAGTGAGCGAGCGAACATAGTAAATACGGATAGTTTGTTATAATCGTCGTATAGTAGTTATCGTCATCGAGAAGCTCGTCTCTTTTAGGGGATAAAAGGAAAAGAGAGAGAGAGAAAGAGGGAGAGAGATAAAGAGAAAACAAAAGCAAAAGAAGAAGAGTCCTGGTGCTGGTGGACAGAGAGTATCATCGAGCAGCCAGTGCTTTTTCACGATTATTCACCCCACTTTGAGGAGGTGTAGGAAGATAAAAAGAAGAAGTAGAGGTGGAAAGTGTCTGTCGTGCTGTGGTGCCATATATATACGGATATATATATATACGCACGCATATACGTATATAGATGTATACACATATACTACATATACGTAAGTATATATATATACTATATAGGAAAGACAACGGCATTGACTGCCGGTTGGTCGAGTCGTCCTCGTCGTCGCGAGTGAGCACGAGATAGTAGAAGAGGACACACGTTGCTCGACGACGACAATTTTACTCGACGACGTGAAGGCGAGGCGACACGACGCGACACGACGCGACGCGTCACGACGAGAAGACGGGATGAAACTAACAGAGTCATTTTTCTTTCGTCTGATATGTTGACCGGGTAAAATCTTCTTCGCGTTCTCTTATTTTCTTTAAAAAAAAAAAAAAAGGTAGATCGAGAGAAAGAACAAATTCGCTAGGTCGTACGTGTTACGTTGGACGACGTTTCAGTGCGAAGTGAGATACGTTAAAATAACGTCGAAAGCGAACGCGAATAATTATTTTAATAATAACTATAAAAAAACGTTAAAAACAAGTAAACAATTTGTTACGAAAGAAAAAAAGGTGCGCGTAATTGTTGTGTTATTTTTGCAAGTGGTAATTTGATCAAAGAAAAGAGAACGAAAACGGGGAGAAAGAAAGAAAGAAGAAGAGGAGAAAGGTTGAGATAAACTAGGAAACGTATCAAGAAGTAGTGGGGGTGGGGTGGGGGTGGGGGGTTGATCGAGAGAGAAAGAGAGAGAGAGAGAGAGAGAGATAGAAGAGGGGTAAGTAGGTAAAGGGCAAAAGAGCGAGGAGAGAGAGAGTGAGAGAGAGAGAGCAGTCGTCTCGCGGCCGAGTTGAGGTGGTGGAAAGAGAGAGTGGTGAACGCAGGAGCAGCAGCAGCACGTACGTGAAGAGGGAAAAGAAAAAGAAGAAGAAGAAGAAAAAGAGGAAGAGGAGGAAGAGGAGAAGAAGGAGTTTGTCGGAAGAGATAAGGGGGTTGAAAGAAGGGAAGCGTGATAGCGCGAAGGAAATTTCTTGTGGTTGATAGAGTCGACAGTGCTGGTGGTGGAGGAGGAGGAAGGGGTGGAAGAAGAGGAAGAAGTGGTGGCGGGAGAAAGAGAGAAAGAGAAAGGACAGCAGCGGTGGAAGAGGAAAAAGGCGACGTTAGCCGCCGCGTGGCTTCGAAGGACGAGGAAATTATGAAGCGTATAAAGTGCGTGCGATCGGCCATCATAGTAGCTGTTGGCCGGTGAATGTGTGATCCGGGGGCAGCAGAGATCCGCCGGAATGACGAGCGAAGAGACGCCGACCGAGCAGCCCCCGGTAGATGACTGCCTAAAGGAGCGAAAATGGTGGTGCTTCTTGCTGTCGAGCATCTTCACGTTCCTCGCCGGGCTGCTTATCGTCCTCCTCTGGCGCGCGTTCGCCTTCCTTTGCTGCCGAAAAGAGCCCGAATTCGCCCCAAATGACCCGAAGCAGAAGGAGCATAAATCGAACCGCCATGGGAAGGAGTTCGAGGGAACTTTTATGACTGAGGCCAAAGATTGGGCCGGCGAGCTGATTTCCGGACAGACCACCACTGGACGTATTCTTGTAAGTATAATTTAATTTAATTCTAATTTTATTCATACTAGTATTTGTGTGTGTGTATTTGTATTTGTATTTTTTTTCTTTTCCCCTTTTTTTCGCGCGCCCTTTTTATTTCTATTTTATTTTTACACGTTTAAAAAGAGATTGAGTTATTAAACTCCCTTTGTATTATCTATCGGTTTTATCCTCCGTTTTAATGGTATGTATACCTTTTGAATTTGAAAGTATCGTCAACGGTAACGTAATAATACTCCTACAAAGTTTCAACCGTTCGACTTAGGTGTTTATATGTCATCGTTGATACGCGCACGCAAATACGCGTCATAAGCATGCTCCTCCCTCATTTTCTCTTTCTCTTTCTCTTTCTCTTTTTCTTTCTCTCTCTATCTCGCACGCGATGCGACACATTAACAGTAGTGTATACATCTACAGCGTTCCATTTCTAATATCTACTTAAGGTGACATGGGGGAAACTAAATGAAACTCGACGTTCACAGAGAGAAATCGAACGCGCTTGTTTATCGAGAATATTAAAGGGAGAGAGATAACAGAGATCTTTCGTGCTTTAAAGCAACGTTTTGACCTTTACTTTGTAAATACCTATCCAAAGGATATTACGAACTTCATCGTGTGTCTCTCGAATAACGCTAATAATTTAACACCTTAAAGATTTAACAGGAAGAAGGATTAAGAAAAATGATGAAAGAAAAAAGGGATTTTTCATCATTGCAAAAATTTCAGTGAAATCACAGCAACGTAGATGGCGTTGATAGTCCTCGAATGAAAGCAGTTTACTTTGTTTGTGTTTTAGACTCGTTAACTTTTTGAAAAGCTAAATAATAATAAAAAATAGTTACGAAACGTTAAGTATCGAACAATTTAGAAAGAGAAAAAACTGTCGACCATTAAAAGATAACATGTGTTCGTTCACGCGAACGTGGCTTGCCTCTCGTAAAACGTCAAATTTGATGCTAGCCGCCAAATGAGCGATCTATTTCTGTTAAGTACCATTATCCGTGAGTATAATAGAGATAGGTAGAAACAAAAACAGAGAGAGAGAGAGAGAGAGAGAGAGAGAGAGAAAGAAAAATAATTTAAGCTATTCACTTTGTCTCCATTTGAGATCTCTTCCGAACGATCGAGTTTAAAAAAGCTCGTCTAACGAGAATAAATCTATCCTTAGAATTTGCACGACATTTTCTATCTCAATCTCGTTTCACACATTCGAGAATAATATAATCGATATTTCCGTAACTAACTCTTTCACTTTTGATGTTAATCTCAGAGTGATGTGATGTCATCGTGCGAAACGTTGAAGAATAAGAAAAGAACATGACGTAGAAGAAGAAACAATTTTTCTATACTTCGTTTATATCTATTATTTTATTTGTATTTATATATTTCAATTTTCGCTAATACGATTCCATGCATGAATTATTTTCTATTGCTTTTTTTTTTTCTTTTCCTTTCTTATTTTATTTCATTCCTTTCGTTTAATTCGAAAGACGAAACGCGTAGGGAAAATTAACGTATCGTCTTCACCCTCTCGGATGTACGCGCGTGCGCCCACCGTCGCATGATGTTTCGCGAGGAGCTCGCACAAGTATTGTACGTGGCCGGTGACCTAGTTCTTCCTGGGTGGATGGTTTCTACGCAGTGCGTGTGCTGCTTCACCCTAGAAACGGCTTTCCGTTGAGAGAAAGAGTGAAAGAGAGGAAGGGAGAGAGAGAGAGAGAGAGAAAGAATGAGAGGCGTTCGAACTCGATATCTTCTTTTCGTTCTTCCTTGTTCTTCTTCTCTACGTTATCCTTTATCTTTCTCTTTTTCTTTTATTTTCGAAGCATACCTTATCTCCTCACCCCTTTTATTCTTCTCTCTTTCTCTCTCTCGTTCTCCTTTTATTATTAGTTCGAATATTTGATGTTCGACCTGTTCTACTTTTCAATAAAAGAATGTAAATTCCAAGATATATCTTTTGAACATATCTTGTTCTATCAAAAGAGAGAGAAAAATAAAGAGTAAGAGAGAGAGAGAGAAAGAGGAAGAGAAAGAGAGAGTGAATGAGAGAGAGAGAGAAAGAGAGAGAGAGAGAGAGAGAGAGAGAGAGAGAGAGAGGGAAAGAGAGAGAAAGAGATACAGATAACGTTTATTATTTCGTATCAGGACAGGAGGGTCATTTTATTTTTCAGTCATCTATAATTGGACTTCAACCTTTGCACAATGAGCAATCGGAATGACCTAGTGGACGACCCACATAACGAAATCGGCTTCTTATTCTTTATTCCTCTTCCTTATACAATATACCTGTGTAAGTTGTATATTCCTGAGAGTTTATTCCGTATATAGGTGATAGGATGGATATCGTTCCTCGATCCGTTGTCATCGTCGTCGTCGTCGTCTTCGTCACCGTCTAATTTCGCTCGTCGTCGAGTGCTAACAAAGAATCGATAAACGAAACCTTTTTGGTTTGCCCTTTCGAGGTCATTCCGTGTATAATTTATAATCGATGACTACATATATCTTTGTTACTGATTGCAGAGGGTTCGCGAGAGATCGTGAGATATTTATTCGAATAAATCGTCTCCTTTTTTTCTTCTCTTTCTTCTTCTTCTTCTTCTTCTACTTTTTTTTATCTTAATAATAGAGATTTTATATAGCTAACCCACTATCCATTCTTAAAAAGATTGAATACATATATTAAGTAATCAATGATTAATGTATTTACCGAGATTACTTGCATTACAAATTCAAGAGCAATCATTTTAACTTTCTTTCGAAGAAAGATCTTTTCTTCATAGGGGTGTCAAAAGTGTAATCATATGAATCTTGATCGTCCCTTACACGTACGTCACGCGAACTCGATCGATTAGATGTCGGAAACACTTAAAATAATCTTGGATCGCTTTTGCCTATCTCTCTTCCTTTTTCTATTAGTAAGCCTGATCGTTTAAACGTGATATTTACTCGACTCGTTTTCAAACTTTTATCAACATCAAATTTATATCAATATTATATTCGGTACTAACATTTACTTTTCTTCTTTAGTTTTCTTTTCTTTTCTTTTTTTTTTTTGTTTTCTATTTTTTCATGATAAATATCGATCGATAACACGTGGTAATTTTAACAATAATACACGTGACTCTAGTAAACTCGTATTAGAGTATAATGGGTCATTTAAGGATCCATATTTTTGATCATAAATTTAAAGGAGGATCGTAACAGGTAATTTTGGGGTAAGCAACGAAAGGGATTAAGGATATGGATCATACTACGAAAGGAAAGTAGATAACGGCGGTTGGCCACCGGCCAATATCCATTTCCAAGAATGTAACAGATTTGTCATGACGCCATTCGAAGTAAAATGTTAGAAGCGCGCTCCCGTCCGACTAACACGAATTTTACTGTGCCAAGGCCCATTATCGATAGTTCTCGTTGCGGATAGGAGATAGAGATAAAGAGAAAGATAGGGAGTGGGAACGAGTGAGAAAGATTGAGAGAGGGTGAAGAGGAGTGCATGGTCTTACATATTACTACTTTCGAATAAGAATATTAGTTAGTTTTCTATTTTTGTTTCTAAATGAAATACACGATCATTAATTATTGATTACTGTTGTTAATACATGAAATAATGTTTTCCAATTGTGTCCACGGATCGATAGATGCACCAATTTCAATCTTCTCGTCGTTATGTGGTTTCCGTTCATTTCCGAACGTAATTAGCGTGTAATTAGTAGATCCGTTTCTAGCATCATCAATGTTCAACATCGATGAAACACTGAAACAGGTGGCGTATACCTACCAATAGGTAACATTTCAGTCGAAAAAGGGAGAGAGAGAGATAGCTCGTTATACGTCTGACGAACGATTTTGAATCATCCGTCCTAGGAAATAGAATAATGCTAAGCTTTGGCGGACATCGTTGGCAACGTTACTTGCCGGCGTATCGTGTTTATTTGCTATAATAACTTATATCATGTTGTTTGCTTTCTACGTAGATTATTATCGAAAAATCGTCTCTTTGTTTCCCAATTTATATAGATATAATACACATATAACGTTTATCTTGTTTTATATAATTGAAATAACAAAGTTAAATTAAATACGATGGACAAATTTTGAAAGATTTCAAGATTATAATCTTGGATTTAGGGTACCTACTATTTATATTATTATTTCTCTCTTTCTTTGGTATATATGTTTTAAATACAAATCCATGCGATCGTTAGAATTCTCTCGTATTATGTTGTAATTAGGAAACAAAAGGAAAAGAAGGGTGAATTGTCGCTAACACGTAGATCGGTAATTTTCCACCTTCGAATTTCGCGTTTACTCGTATAAATAGTCGAATTAGATAAACCCGGTTCAATCTGCCGTTGGCGCGAAACGACGTAAAATTGGATGTACGCCATCTCGGGATGTAAAACTTTCTTGCACGGTACCCTCTTGGCTACCCCTCACCATCCACCTTATCAAATAATTCTATTCTATAGCGAGCTTTATTTCTTCTTTACGATTTTCTGTTCAATCAAGGAAGGTTACAAAGTAAGAAAAGAGAAAGATAATGGAAGAGAAAAAGAATATCGTCATCGAAAATTTTTATTTCGAGGAAAGGCTCTGATTCACCGTTGTTATCTAAGTTGGATGATGATTCCAAGGATCGTTGATGATTCGTTCACGATCGAGATCATCGTTTTGTCGCAGATATATCTATAAGTTCTCAAATAAGAGTTTCTGTCGTACCTACAGCCAACAAATACATACCTACACATATGTGCACACACACACATATATATATATATATGAAAACTTACGCTTACTTGTGAAACAGGGATTTCAATTATCCAGATTAAGAATCTTTATTGCGTAAAATCGCGTAAGATACAATCCCATTTGTTTTTATTGTTAGAAATTAACGACACTTTCTTCCGTCTATTTTATTAATCATCACTATTTAACTCTGTTATTAGAAAATTATTCTACTCGAAGAACGACAAATCGAACGAGTTCAAAAGTAAGCCGGAGGCGTAAGAAATCCCTTGACGAAGTCCGAGTTCGTTCTCTCGTTCTTGACCTTCGACTTTCATCCCGTCTGTCGGATTTAAATGCATAAGGTTTAAGTTCTAACGAGACGAAATTAGACGTGGCATTAGAAACTAAATCTTTTAGTCGATGCAATCATCGTTTCTTCTTCTTCTTCTTCTTCTTCTTCTACTTTAGCTCAATTCTCGATAAATTTCTTTGTTTCTTTTCTATTCAAATGAATCAAAATAATAATAAGATAAATTATATTGATCGTTAATCAATTATACACTAATTTGATTTGTTTTTCTTTATACCAACAATAGTTTCATTTTATTCGTCGTTTATTCGTCAATTTTTTCGAGCTGCAATTTAATAATTTCTAAATGAAATCCACTTGATCTCGAAAAAGAGAGATAGAGAGAAAGAAAAAAGGAGAAAAACAGAGAGAGAGAGAGAGAGAGAGAGAGAGAGAGAGAGAAAGAAAGAGATCGAGAGATAGAAAGAGAGTATATGCATATCTTGTCTTGGTGACGACGAAAATAACCGAGGAGGCTCGTGACGAGACTGTCCGAGACCCACGCTAATTTTCATCCTAAAATAAGAACGGCAATCTTTATTTATAGCAAAGCGCGATAGGTCAGATTGTCCGCTTCTCAGGGCAAATTGCATTTTCTTAAGTAGCGCTCTAGCGCGCTCGAGACATGAAAATTACACTACATATGTATGTTCTACATATTATGTATCTTCGTAGGGGATGGAATAGGACGCAGTGATATAGCACGAGGATAAAAGGTGCGGTAAGACGGGGTGATGAGGGGGTGGGATTGGGAGGTAGTGCCACTTGTACTTCGCAAAGCATTGAATGGAGTAGCTTTTGTAATAACTTTGCGAAAGCGTCGCTACGACTAACGCGCTGCGTATTGTATACATCTAGATACGTATGAATGTGTGTGTGTGTGTGTGTACGCGACAATGTAGTTGCATGTGGCGCTACATGCGAATCGATTAACGTGACACTTTTATACGTCTCGTGCGTCTCTCTTTCTATTTCTCTTGTCTACCTCTTTGTTTTCTTTCACTTTATTCACAAAGTTTTAATATAATTAACTTAATACTTTTTATATATTTTTTCCTCGTTCTCTTTTTCTTTTTGATCATTATATTTATCTAACATCATATACTTATTTAACATCAACGCAAGACACCTATTATAATTATACATGTGTGCATATATATATATAATATTTGTTTACTTGCGTTGCAAATAACAATGGGAATTAAAAAACAGTGGGGCGCCGTAGAATAGAATAGTGCTCGCGATAAATAAATCTCTTACCAGATTGCACCGCTTCGGTTCGCCCACCCAGCCCCGTTCGTTCCGGTTTCTTTCAAGGATCTATCTAATTCCTGGTAGGAAGAAACGAATAAACAGAGCGCGTAAACAACTCGAAGTCGTCAGTAAGAAGCTTACCGATCGAAAAGTACGAATTCATCTTCCATCTATTTCTTATTCCCTTTTTCACTTCTTCCTTCTAGTCACGAACTTACCCTCGGTCCAGTTGTCCTTTCGAAGATGCAATTGCTCAGAAAAGCTTCCGGTAATGGAGAATGATCCTGGTAGAGATAACCCACTGACCTATATCTTCCTATCATGCTCTAGTAAGTGGAAGATATACATATATATATATAATATATTTGGTACATATATGTATATTTATATATCAAGAACAAGCAAAAAAGAAACATAGACAGGGAAAGACAGAGAGTACCAAAAACAAGCAAGAAAGGGAAAGACAAAGAGAGAGATATCAAAAGCAAATAAGTAAAAGAGAGAAAAAGAGATATCAAGAGAAAGAAGGATAGAGTGAGAGGAGGATCGGTGTTCGGGCGTGTGCCGAAGGGTTGGAAAGTAGTGAAACGCCACCTCGCGTTTCATTCGTTGTTGGGGAGGGAGAGAGCTAAACTGAAGGTTTGAAATAGAATGAATAAGAGAGAGGCACCCTTCTAGCTGAAAGAGGCAATGCAAAAGAGAAAGAGAAAGAGAAAGAGAGAGAGAAGCGACAGCCTCGTGACCAGGTCAAACGCAAGTTCAAACGTAAAGCTTGTCTTACCCCCGTTGGAGTGCAGCTGTACTCGGTTAACCCGGTAACGTATAGGTGCCGACACGTTGCAGCTCGCGGTACGAACGAAGCGAGGGAGTCGGAGAGGGTTGCCACCGATCGATATCGGTGCTGGTGGTCACGGGTATAACATCCTCCTCCAACCATACACGCGTTTATTGATAAAACTGACTCTTACTGTACCCCTCCGATACCATCACCCTTTCTCTCTCACCTTCTCTCATCCTCTCTATCTATCTCTATCTTTATCTCTATCTCTATCTCTCTCACTCTCTCTTTCTTTCTTTCTTTCTTTCTCTATGGTTCAGTCTCTTCCTTCTATCTTGATGTTTATTTCATTAGCGTTGGTTTGTCTTCGTGTTTAATTTTCTTCGACTATAATCGGAGAATGAATGTATCGACCAATTAGTTGACGTTTTTCTCAGATTGTCTTTGTAAAGATAACGGAAAAAGAAAAATAAATGAAAAGTAGAAATGAATTGATATTAGAAAATTTGAATGAATTTATTTGATTGACAATAAGCCGATATTTCTTCTTCTTTCTATTCATTTTCTTCCTCTCTTTCAAAATAATTCACAGAATAATTTGTCTTATACTTATGTTAAAGTTTATTTTTCTTTTTAACATCCAATCGGTGCACGCGATTAAAACTTTTCTTCGTTCTACTTATGTAAATAGGGTATTACATCATGAATGAACAAGATTTTAAAGAGAATCGTAGAAGAGATGCAAAGTATAATCAGCTTGAATTATTTCAGATGGGATATTATCATATTATAGTCCTCTGCGTTTCAATCGATAGAGAAAATTAGTAACAATAAGCAAATCGCATTTGTTTTCGTCACTCACTCGGTGTGATTCGCTGTGATATGTATGTGAGAGGGAATGGGAAGAATGATGAGAGGAGAATAAAGAGAAACGATCAGTGGGTGTCGAAATATATGCATCGCGTTGAATAAAATTAACGAATTGAGCAAAGCGGAAAAGTTCTCTTCGATCGTTAATTTAATAATCAATTAATAATAATATATGACAGAGAAAGAAGAATATCAATTAGAATAAAATTTTGAAATAAAACCAAGGGCCGCCGATTTTAAACGTAGGGCGCGGGAAATCGTTCGAAATTTAACGATGTAGTAACTGGAACCGAGCCAAGAATCTTGAAATCGATCGTTGCCAGCGATGTAGCTTACCTAGGATATACATATGTAAAAAAGCCTATACCTCTTTAGTTATTTACATTTCGTCTATATATGTAATCTGTCTATTTTAATGTGTATTCGTTAGTGTATATGCGAGCTTTAGGACAATTGTGATAGTTTCGATTCTCTCCGATAACTTACAAACTCTATCGTACCTTCAAGTTTACGCTTTTTCATATTTGTTTGTGTTTCGTGTATATACGCGTGTGCATGTTTGTATGTAAAGAAAATGTTCCCTTCATAATGCACACAAACATAGAAACGCGCTCGCATATTCTATGCTAAAGCAAGAATTTATTTTCTAAACGGTACGCGCTCTGAAATACATATACTCTTGGTGTTTGTTTTTACATCCTCTATCCTTTCGTTCTACTACTCTATCATCGGTTATAGTACCTACTCGAGATACTTAAGACGTATTGTTATCTTCTTTCTCTGTTTTCCTATCTCTCCCTCTCTCCCTCTCTCTCTCTCTCCCTTTTTCTTTCTCTCTTTCTTTTCAATTGTTTATTTATTCTTAAAAGTGCACGTTCATCGTATCTCTGACACATTGTACATTATGTTTCAGGTGGTGCTAGTTTTCATTCTCAGTATAGCATCGCTTATAATATACTTCATCGATGCCTCCAGGTAAGATTATTTTACTTTTTATTATTTCTCTCATTATTATTCTTATTAATTCCAATTAATTTAACGAAAACAAAAACTGATCCTTTAGAATGCAATACGAGTAAACACGACACTTAACCTTTTTCCTCTTTTGCTGTTCGCGCTTCTCTGCTGTCTGTCTATCGATTAAAAGAAAACCTTGTGCGTTGCACCTGTTGCAATTACTCGTCTCTTCTTTACAAAGGTCTTTAGTCGGTATCCACAAATAATACCTTACCATCTCCTTTTTCTTTCTTTCTTTCTTTCTTTCTTTCTTTCTTGCTTGCTTGCTTCCTTGCTTCCTTTCATTTTTCTCTTTTAAAAAGAGAAAATTTTATTATCGATAATCCAACGATCGGGTACTTTGATTTTTTTTTTTTCTGTTTCAGTGAGGAGGTGGAACGTTGCCAGAAATGGAGCAACAATTTTACTCAGCAGATAGACTTAGCTTTCAATATATTTTTTATGGTCTACTTTTTTATACGCGTAAGTAAACAACGTTTTTAGAATTGTAACGTCAATGAACTAAAAAGCAAAAGAAAAAGAAAAAGAAGTCAGACAGAAATAGATATTGTAGTACGAGGACTAATCATCTTGCCGTTTGTTTTTGTATTTTTTTGTTCTCCCCTTGTCTTTCTCGTAAACAGTTTATCGCCGCCAGTGACAAGCTGTGGTTCATGCTGGAGATGTACTCGTTCGTGGATTACTTTACGATACCACCGTCCTTCGTATCGATATATCTCGATCGGACGTGGATCGGACTGAGATTCCTCCGAGCCCTACGATTGATGACGGTCCCTGACATCCTCCAGTACCTCAACATTCTAAAGACATCGAGTTCCATTCGCCTCGCCCAACTCGTATCCATCTTCATCTCCGTCTGGTTGACCGCTGCTGGCATCATTCATTTGGTAAAAATATTTTCGTTCCATTACTTATACAAATAAATGTATAAATAAATTCAATTACGAAAGTGGACTAACAATAAGTCCGAAAAAAAAAAACAAACAAAATAATATAATTCTATGTGATTTATTTTATAATATAAATATAAATGATTTTATGATTTATTTTAATATACAAAAACGTATCGTAAATTATAATTTTCTTTTTTTCTATTTTGCGTATAATTATTATTATATATATTTACGAATCCCTTGCCGCGACAGGGATAAAACAATTGTTCTTCTTTTTTATCATTTATATTTATGTTACTAAAAATAATTGAAATAATTTCTCTATTTGATCTATTTATTATTGATCCTAATGATCGTAGAATAATTTTGTCGGTAGCTTGAAAACTCAGGGGATCCATTCGAGTTCATAAATCCGCAACAGCTTTCGTACTGGACCTGCGTGTATTTTCTAATCGTGACAATGTCCACGGTAGGATATGGCGACGTTTACTGCCAGACGGTCCTCGGCCGCACATTCCTAGTATTTTTTCTACTCGTCGGTTTGGTAAGTCAACTTTAATTATTATTTCCTATACCGTCTAAATATACATTACTATAGTATATACATATATATATATATATTGTTATTATTATTATTATATGTTATTATCATTATTATTATTATTATTATTATTATTATTATCTTTATTATTATTATTATTACGTCTAACAAACAAACAAAAGAAGAAAAAAGAAAGAAAAGAAAACTATATACATTTGAATCCGTGAATTTACATATAAAATACACGAGTCACGAGAGGCCCCGTGTTATAAAAAATAAAAAAAAAAAGAATAAAAAATAAAAAACCTTACGAGCGAAACACAAATCGCTAGTACGACAAATCCTTAACGATTTATTATTGGATGGAAAATAAAAAAAAAATAAATAAACAAAAGATATATCAATCGAAAATGAATAATAAATAAGAAACGAATGAATGAATCGTCGAAGTCAAAGAAATAATTACTATTGGACAGCCTATGGTTTTTTCGACGAGTTAGAAACACGTATTCAAATATTCGCTTGGTCAATGAAAAATTTTCTGAAAATTTATTTAGAAAGGAAACAATTAGATAATATGTACATATACGTATTCGTATTTTGTCAATCATGTCGTTGACCGTGGTCCAGTCTTACAATTAGAGTGAGAGTTGAAATAAGAAAAAACATAAAATAATAATAATGATTAAAAAATAAGAACAGAGTCGATAAAAAAAAAAATAAAAAATAAAACAAAAGAGAAATTCAAAATGACCAAAAAATAAAAAAAAAACAAATAAATAAATAAGGAAAAAAAACATGAAATTGCGATCCCGTCGAAGGTTAATTTGCCCCGAAGAAAGATTAATAAAAAACATTTTTAATAATATGAATTTATTTAATTAGTATATACAGAGAAATCGAGCGTCGTTGATTAGAAGTTGATTAAATTAGAACGCGGACCAGTCCTTATTAGCATAGGTTTTATTCGCTTCTTTACAAATCTACCATAAAAAGTATCTTCATGGTTTTATTTAGGATACGAAGAATAATTGTGATAAACGCGTATTTTTGTTTCGCCGTTTCTAGAAATTCTTGATCCCCTTTTCTAAATAATTCGCTTTACGATATATACAGAAAAATAACTTGACCGAATGTATCCAAAAAGCCAAAGAAATATAACAATGATCCTAAAATCGTTAAATTTTCGTTTTATTTTTTTTTTTTAATTATTTTTATTTATATCTCGGCCATCAGCCGACGATTTTTGATTCGTCGTAGCGGGGGGATAAACGTAGGGGTTTGTGTAACGAGATTCCAGAATAAAAATCAAATCAAATCAACTAAAAAAGAAAAAATCGATATCGGAGTAAGCTTTTAGTTCTTCCATAGTGTTGTTACAAAAATCATACATTAACGTGATTCGCTGTGTCGTCATCGTCGTCGTCGTCGTCGTCGTCGTTATTCTTATCATATTAGAAAATCGTTCGTCGTAAATATAAAAAGAAAACAAGAAATACAATAAAATAAAATAAAATAAAAAAAAATAATAAAAAGAGGAAAACTAGAAAATTGACTTTATGTCTTCAGGATTCGCACGTATGTCGCAGCATACACACGTATATCTATATTCTCATTATAAATATATATGTATACATATTTACGTACATAGGATACATACCTTTACACGTCGTCCCCTCGTCGCGTATATATATATATATACATTTGTTTATGTCAAATTTCTTACGATCCGATCAAATTTTCCGGTTAAATTATAATTTGAGAGAATCCAATGATCATCGGCCCTTATTTGTCGAGCAGCACGCGTCAACACGGTCCGTTACCCGCACGGTCCATTATTCTCTTAGGTTTATTCTCCTTCTTTTTCTTCTTCTTCCGTTTTTTTCCTCTCCTTCTCTATTAATTATTCGCAATAAATTTCAATCAATGAATTTTCTCTCTCGAAAGAAGAAAATAAAAAAAAAAAGAATATAGAAAACAGACAAACCATTCTTATCGAGCATACAAATTTTCTCGGATCGTTTCATTATATTGTTACATATAAATTTGTTCCAATCGGAAAAATAAAAAGGATGAAAATACTATTTCGTCGCGCGTTTGTTTCTTCTTACTTTTTTTTTTTGCTTATTTATTTTGAAAACAAAATAACTCGCGTTCATAGTTCGTAGCAACATAATATATATATATAGCTCGATAAAAGTGCGCTTATACCATACTGATGCCTTTCTTCTTATTATTTTTTTCAACCCTCTTTTCTCGCTTTCTCTTTCTCTCTCATTCTCTCTCTCTCTTCTCTTTCTGTCGCTTTCTATTTCTCTCTTATTCCCTTTCTATCTCTCTCTATCTTTATCTCTTTCTATTTTCAAAATTATTCTATTATATTATTAAAATAATAAAATCGTGAAAATGAGATTAATAAAAAGAAAAGCAACGATACGAAATAGTATTTTTCTGATTGTACGTCGCCTTTTTCATATATCCGTCAAGTTATACATAATAATTATTTTATTACATATATATGTTAAGCAAATAATTTACATTTGTAGAATTAGCGCGATATTTATTTCATATCATATTTACAGCTTTTTTTTAGAGGAAAAACGCTTATTCGCGTCTTTGATCGTGTTGTTTTTCACGTTGCCAGAGGAATTAACATAAGTTCACCAAGAGAGAGATTCCGTTCTAGGATCCAACCATCCATCCATTCTCGTTGTTGTCCGATTAAGTTAAAATTAACAAATTAAAACTAACAATAAAAACGCGAGGCGGAGTGGTGGATTTTATTTTTTTTTGTTTTTGTTTTTTATATGCGAGTGTAATTTCAACTCATCAAGCTTTAAAGTACGACTCTTAATTAACAAAACAAAATAATTATCTCTCTCTCTCTCTCTCACTCTCTTTTTCTCTCAATTATTTCTCTTTCTTCTCGAAATGTTATTTCATAGCTCTGCAATGAACAACATACGGGTTTTATTTCGCATATATTAAAAACTAACGAGCATATTTATTACAATTTCCGATTGCAGTTACGATGCATTAGTATTGTTTCTTTTGAAATTTTTTCATTCCAATTATCTAATTAGTATCATCAACTACAATTATATTTCAAAACAATCAAAATTCATTTAGTTTTTCATGCTTTCTAATCATTATAGTTTTACCTATTTGATAAAATATTTAATTCACTTCGAGATTGGATGCTGTGAAAGATCCTTTTTGTTTGAACGTCGTTTCTCTTTCTCTTTCTTTCTTTCTTTATCTCTCTCTCTCTCTCTCTCTCTCTCTCTCTCTCTCTCTCTCTCTCTCTTTCTATCTATCTATTTATCTATCTATCTATATTTCTTTCTCTCTCTCTCTCTCTCTCTTTCTCTCTCTGTCTCTCTGGCCATGAAACTTTATCGTGCCGCTGCAAAAGAAAGTATTAAAGAAAACAGAGCAAAAAAAAAATATATATATATACAATATAATACAAGATTAAAAGTACTCGACAACTTTTTCTTTATATTATAAATAGTGAAATGTTGGTGTTTTGTACGAGCTTCAATTTTTCACTGTCGTTCTTGCCTGTGTATATCTGTGTTCTATACATACATACTTACTACCCTCCGTGCGCTGATACGCTGCTGAAATATAATTCTACTAACTCACATTATTTCTGGCCGCTTGAAATTTTCTTTCTCGGATATTACTTCATCGTAGCAATACATTTGCCATTTTCTATACATATATATATTATATTATATTATATTATATTTTATATTATATTATATTATATATATTTTATATATTATATTATTATATTATCCAATCATTGTGTGTGGACGATATAATTATAATTTTGTTATCTTTTGTTTCGATTTTCGAATATTCATCACGGCTATTAGCGTTCGTATTTTATAAGAGTTATTTCGACAAATTGGACGATTATATTATACGCATATTATTTCTCACATTGTTTTCTTTTCAATCATTTTCGAAAAATAATTCAATTAAATTCTTCAATACATTCGTCTAATTTTTTCGAGATATTCTCCACGATGAACCTTCGCCTTTATGTTTCATACAACGCTCGATACTACCTTTATAAGCAAAACAAATTAAATAATAGTCAAATAAAGCACAAAATCCAAAAATATATATTTATATTATTATAGAAGAAACAAAAGATATATATATAAACGAGGAAAAAAAATAATAATTTATTTAAAAAAAAAAAACAAATAATGAAAACAGAAACACGTAGCCACTCGATTAAATAAATGCACCCTTGCGAAGGGAATTGTCGTTTAATCCTCTCGCTCTCCGAACTGATGTAACTTCTTACTTGCGATCAATTTTAAGTTTCGTTCCGTCAGAATTTCAATTCGTATTATCGGTAGGCGTATAACAAACTAATCTCATTTTGCAGCATTGAAATCGTCAAGACATTTTTTATTCTTAACATTATTATCATCGCGATTACTAGAGAGTGGGTATTTAAGATAATATAATGAAATAAAAAGAAAATAGGAGAGTACGTATCACGTACACACATATACCTTTTCGCAAAACGATCGACTCTCCCGCTCTATCAAGCCATGTTTTTCTATGTATTTATCTGTGTATGTATCGTGTATCTTATAATCTATCTAACAATCTATCTAATTATTTAGCTATTCATCCATCCATCTATCTATCTACTTATCTATCTACTTATCTATCTATCTATCTATCCATCTATCTATCTTTTGCGTTAATTCGTTAAACTGCAGTGTCTTTGGTTGCTTGAGCCATACGGGAATATACTGTGACGAATTAAAATGGATCAAATAAGAATTCTAACACAACGAGTAGAAAATGGGAATCGTCGAGAAAGAAGAAGAAAATGATGGATCGAAACCAACGATGGTAAGGATCGATATTAACATCACTCACATGTTTGAATCTGGTACAACGATAACAAATCAAAATGTTAATAAATAATTATTAGATAAACGAAAAAAAAAAGTACAAGAGAATGGTCG